TGATTAGTCGCGTGGGTTCGATGAGGAGTTTCTAACGTAAGCAGTATCGGCAAACGTCAAAACCAGCTGTTGTTTGCGTTTACAATGACGTTTAGCTGACAGCCAACAGACGTTGCGAGAGAGCGAGTGGGAGGAAACGAACACAGATAAACGGTGTGAACAGCAGTCTTCCAAGGGTTTTTCCGTTCCAATGGGAACAAGTTTTCGAATTGAGCGGACTGGGGTTCAGTTAGATTGGTAGATAAAGCGTCCTGAATTATTTACTTGTTTGTTTCCACCGTTGCAACTAAAATAATCGATAATCCAGCAGAGCGGTGAAAAATTAAGAAGTCAGTTGTGATAAAATACGTAAAAGACGAATAGGAACTAAAAACAGTCTATGGGTCGTACGGACAGGACGTGCTTCCCGTATGGGAAGGAAGGAAAACCAGAAAAATCACATGATTTACAGGGTGCTGCAGGAAGCTACGAAGTAACTATGAGGCACTATAAGGCCCGGAAGAGCTAGGAAGCGGGAGTGGGGAGTGGGCACGTCGTACTTTTGGGGTCCTCAGCGAGGGAGCCGTATGGGTCGCTGGAAGCGAGGGGTCGTACTTACCCGTCTCGGTAACTAGCTTTTCTCGGTTTTCCCTGTTTCAGGTGCGCGATGTTTTCCTGCCCCACAACCCCCCCCCCCCGCCCCTTCCCCTTTCCCTTGCCCAGCTCGGCGGCAGTTTTGTTGTGGAAAGTAGAGGTGCTTCCGAGAAAGTTGTCCAAAAATCTCCACTACACTTTTCTGGACAGAAAGGCGCTAGGTATGATGGGTATGGGAAAGAGAGTTGGTCGACCAGAAGAGGAAATTTTCGGGGGGGGGAGGGGGGGGTCGTGTTCTGCAAACATTCTCGCCAACGGCGAGAAAAAAATTTTCCTTCTGTCCTGTTTGGGGGGGGGGAGGGGGAAGGAGTGCCAAAAATGGGACTCGATGACTTTATTGTTACTGATGATGAGCTGCTCTCGAGAATTTTTTCGGACCATTCCCTGCGAAGACACCGGAAGGATTTTTGGACCACAGCATCGCTCTTCAGACTGAAGTAACATTAATTATATGTTTATGACAAGTCATTAAGTGCCAAACCGCTCTTGTTTACATATGTTACACTCAAAAGCATGGGAAACATCTGGGCCATTAGTTTTCTATTTGCCAACGTGATTAAGGACCCTGCCTGTGAGCAGAAAAGCGATGTAATACTGTGCTGTTGTTGTGAGGTTTTTAATAGATTTATTGCATGTAGGACAAAGAGGGCGTCTTTTTGTTATGGGAGAAGTTTTGAAACTTACCAAAGTACACCCCTTCTCACATTAGAGCGGTGGAACTCACGCAAAATTCAAGAAAAGGCAAGATTCGGTGGCAAATGATACCAACCTTTCTTGTCCCTTCAACATTCAGACTCAAATGGCCGACCAGGAAAACTCGTCTCTCGCGAGCGCGACGTCGCATGCCACGCCCGGTGCGGTGTATTGCAATTGTCTTGTCACATACATCCCATAGCGATTCCCATATGGTGGAAACACACGCAAGTGAGGCGTGCGGTCGCCATTGCGGGTTTGCAGCTAAGGTTTCCTCAGAAACCGCGAAATTCGATAATCTATCGCTGCTCTTTCATGCTGTTTTACTTTGAATTGTGAGACATATTACTCTAAACCGAGACGGAGCTTGGAGGTGATCGGGTTTTCGAGACCCCGGAAGTGTTGTCCTCTTTCAGAGCTACCTAGATTTTTCCTATAATATTATATATAAGTCTCTGCTATGATTGTTTGTGTCCCTCATGAACCACTTGCAAAGCAGCACTTCATTCAATTCCTTCGCAAAAAGAATGGCGAATCGGATGCATGGCGCATTTCGACATCGTTGAAAGCTGAGAACTTTATCGCTTTTTCAGCGCCCATCTTCACTGAAAACAGTACTAAAAATGATAAAGGTAATATAAATCAGGACTACATGTTTGTTTGCGCTCGTTCAGAGATTCTTGGAAGCATTCCCTAGTCTGCCCGCGGTCACTCTTGTCCCTCCTCCTCTTCAGTGTCCATTCAACATCATAACAAACATAAGCGTATGCAAATATTGTCGCCTGGGAGCTCATCCGAAGGCATTCTTAGAGACTTTTTGAAGAGGAATATTTTCTTCAGGTTGGTCGAATCGACAAGGATTATCCGTTTGTAGATGCCCATAAAGCGCCTTGCCTGGAAGTGGCATGGAGCCCATTCAACGACAACGTTATCGCCTCCTGTTCCGAAGATACTACAGCTAAGGTACAGCTACTTGTATGTAGTTTTTTTTCTGAATATTTCATCATGGTAATTGCTGTTTAACGCTCCAGTTTGTGGACAGTCGGGGGGGGGGAGTGCAGAATGTCCCCCCCAACTCCTCCGCAGCCCGACTGCGCATGTATACTCGCAATCCCTGAGATGTGGTGGGCGTGGCTGCGTACTTCAACTAGAAGTGGCGGTGGCTGGGCGATTAAAGAGATGTACCCATTTCGACACAATTGTACAGGCGTCATCCGGGCAGTTGATTAGGCGGCCAAACGGTCGCGAAGCGGCTGCGATCAGCTGTTTCCTGCGTGGTTTAGCCATTTTTCCTCCAATTTCCAATGTATTTTCTATTTTTTTCCAAGGTAAGT